TTTTGGAACTGTACCTCTTCCTTTCGGTCATCATTTTGTTTCTGGAACTGCCAGTAGACAAGAGCACGCTGAGATTTTGGGCTGCATTCCAGGAAAGTGCTGCTATTCTCTACCCCGTAGATAATTTTCTCTTCAAACCCAGGTCCACTTGGATTATCTGTAGGGAGAAATAAAGGGAAACAAGCTACCCATTACTGGAAGACTTTGTGTGTCTCTTGAAAGAAGTAACGTAAATAATGAATTCTTCAAAATGAGATTGAAATGACTGGACATTACACAATAGCTGGTTGGGGGATTGTCTTGTCCATATGGAGATTTACAAAAATATTGAACATATATTTTTTATATTTTACTAGCCATCCCCTGCCATGTGTTGCTGTGGCCCAGTCTGGTAATCTGGAAAATAGAGTAATTAGAAAGTGTTGGTTTCTAATATATGTAATTTCTTTATGCTTGTGGGCAACAGTATTTCTTGCTGTTTCTTTGTGAGTGTTGATGTGGAGATTGTCTGGTTTGCCTTCTCTGAAACATGCAACACATCATTGTCCTTCTTTAGGGGTCCCTTTAAAATCTATGATACTATCTCTCTCTGTGTGTGAATAATATCTATGGCTGGATGGCTCTTTGTCAGGAGGGCTTTGATTATGTTTTCTTGCCCTTGTGAAGGAAGTTGGACTGAATGGCCTTAATTATGGGGGTTCTGTGTGGGAAGTTTGCCCCAGATCTATCGTTGGTGGGGTTCAGCATGCTCTTTGATTGTAGTTGAACTATAAATCCCAGTAACTACAACCTCCCAAATGTCAAGGTCTATTTTCCCCAAACTCCATCTGTGTTCATATTTGGTATATGGAATTTTTGTGCCAAGTTTGGTCCAGTTCCATCCTTGTTTGAGTCCACAGTGCTCTCTGGATGTAGGTGAACTACAACTCCCAAACTCAAGGTCAATGCCCACCAAACCTTTCTAGTGTTTTCTGTTGGTCATGGGAGTCCTATGTGCCACGTTTGGTTCAATTCAATCATTGGTGGAGTCTTAATGCTCTTTGATTGTAAGTAAACTATAAATCCCAGCAACAAGAAAATCCCAAATGACAAAATCAATATTTTGAGTGATGGTCACTCCTTGGGTTAGTAGGTGTTTTGTGGCCAAATTTGGCGGCAATTCATCCAGTGGTTTTTGAGTTCTGTTAATCCCAGAAAAGAACATTACATTTTTATTTATATAGATTTTAAATATTATAATTTGAAAACAATTAATCCTACAGAACATTACTGCCATTTTTTTAAAAAAGAGAAACACAGAGGCACATATCTACTGACATTAAAATGAAGTTAGAAAATAGTTTGGGAGGAATGGACTTCACTTTGTGAGTGCTTAGACTGACAGGTCTGGAACTGGTTTGAGGCCAGGAGGATGATTATATTTGCCATAGAAATATGCTTCAAAATGCTTTCTGGAGGGCCCCCACCCCCAGTTTCCAAGCAAAATGGGCATCAACACTCCAGACACATAGGAGATTAAAATACCTTAAATGACAGTAATTTTAATTATTTATTTACTTCATTTGCTTAATTTTTATCCCACCTTTCTCTTAATATAGGAACCCAAAGTGGCTAACAGCAAACATGACACAATACAAACAGAGCAAATGCATGTAAATATAAATATAAAATTTAAAAAAAATTCTATGGAACTGGGATGAGGGATACACTGGAATCTGCTGCAGCACAAACTTGAACTTTCCTGCAACTTTCTTTCTTAAATGCATGCTGTAACAGTGTGTGTTTTGTTTCGAGTCACCTTGACGCTGTGATACGAGGGGTATTTTTTAAGTAAGGTCCGTTTGAACATAAGTACACAACGAAAGTTTATTTCTAAAAAGTAAATTTATTTTCAGAAAGTACATACTTCACTCTATTTTTCGACATAGTTGCCAAGTTTGTTCAAACACTTATCATACCTCTGAACCAATGTTAAAATACCCTCTTCATAAAAACTTGCCACCTGCTCCAATAACCAAATCACCTGTAATCAAAGAAGGGCAACTGCAGCGGTCCTCATCATGGACGTTGTCACGGCCATCTTTGAATTGTCGTACCCACTTATACATTTTGCTTTCACTCATAACAGTATTGTGTACACTTCACAAATCTGTCGATAAGGACGTTGTCACGGCCATCTTTGAATTGTCGTACCCACTTACGCACTTTGCTTTCACTCATAACAGTATCACTGTACACTTCACAAATCTGTCGATGAATTTCTGCAGCAGGCAGGTTCCTTGCTGACAAAAACCGTATCACTGAGCGAACCTCACATGCGGAGGGTGAGTTGATAGTCTTAAACATTTTTAAAGCACAGAACAGAACCGTACAGGTTAGCTACAGAGCGGAAACTGAGCACAGTTGTTCCCGAGGCATGCCGGTACATGCACGACGCACGTGAACTACTAGTGTCTACAACAAAATGGACCTTATGTAAAAAATAGCCCTCGTATAGTGTCAGTGTAGATGGTCCTAAAGAATTAACATTTCCTGCTGTTTAGAAGGGTTAACCAGCTGAAAACACATTCAAAAAACACATTCAAAAATGTATGTATCTTCCCCTCCTTCTTTGAAATGGAAGTATGGTTGCTAGGGTTTAACAAAGAGAACTGCTAGGCAAGCACTTAGAGCAATTAATGATAATTTGTATTCCTTAACCCATGACTCCCATAATTTGTGCCACAAAATTAGTGTGGGGAATGCACAATCTGATAATCTTTTCCACATTTTTGACTATGGTAAACTATCCAGAATGAATAGTAAACCATCCAGGGGTAGTAATCATACAGTCATCCAGATATTATTGGAATTCAAAGTTCTAGTAGACGTAGCCAGAACATCCAAAGGTGAAGAATGCTGGGAGTTGCAGCCCAGCATGATTGCCACCCCAATGTACACCTTTGCCCTTTCTTTAAAGGAAGGATATTTGTTAAAAAATGAAAGGACAATAATGTGTTATACACAGAGAGCAGAGCTATTATTACGTTGAAACCTGTGACTCCCTTATTATTATTTAGGTTTAGGTTAATAATTCACTCGATTTAATTTTTTAAAGATTTTTTTAAAAGCTGTGGGCTTTGTATTGAATAACAAGGGTTAGTGTGGTCCTTGAAGATTTAATGATGTCCCAAGAGGTCTATGATCCTAATACTTTAATAGACAACCATATAATATAAGGCCTTCAAAAAGTATTAAAACACATTTAGATTGTGTGACGCTGCAATGTGTTGTACCAGTTGTTAATGTCCACAAATCTTGTTTTTGTGGAAACAACATTCCATGAATCATTTCCTTTTGTAAATCATATAATTTATGGAAATGTAATGAGGCCTTGTGGACGAGTGAAGGAAAGTGAAATAAATTACTTCCTTTTTATAACAATATTGTTTCCCCGTTATTCATCAATTGGCTGCAAATGTTGAATTGTTTTGGATTTATATGGCAGTTGCGTCTACTCCAGCACCACAAAGGAATTTGGGTCTAAGAATTAACTCTTTCAAAGCAAGAGTGTAGCAAAAGTATGACAATTACTGAGGGCATGTTTGCAAGAAAAAGTGAACAACATATTCCTAAACTGGAGCCACAGCTCCGGCCCAGCGTACCTGTCTAAACGTATCTCCTTCTATGTCCCACCTCGGAGTTTAAGATCTTCTGGGGAGGCCCTGCTCTCGGCCCCGCCTCTATCACAAGTGAGGTTGGTGGGGACGAGGGACAGGGCCTTCTCAGTGGTGGCCCCTCGCCTGTGGAATTCACTCCCCGGGGAAATTAGGTCATCAACATCCCTCCTCTCCTTCAGAAGGAAGCTGAAAACATGGATATGGGACCAGGCCTTTGGGTAATCTGGCAGACTGACAAGGTAATGACGACCAGAATTTGGAAAGGACTATGGTAATGCTGAATGGACTTACGGATTTTAGAACTCGGTGAACGTTGGCCACTAGATTGGCTTTTTAGTTGTTATTGTATTAATTGAATGTTTTAATTATTGTGGTTATTACTGTCATGTATTTTATCTGATGAATTGTTGGCATTGAATTGTGCCAGTTGGGGTAGAAGTGCCCGAAATAAATAAATAAATACATTTCCATATTTTGAATGTATCTTCTGTCTATGAAAAATGTGTAAATATCTTTAATTCAATGTGTTTACATGTCTGCTAGTGGTATTCTTTGTGTTGGAGTGATTTGTTCAAGAAGTCATGCTGACAATCCAGAGAAGCTACTTTTTTGACAACTATCAGACTTCTGTAGTCAAATATGGCTACTGGTTGGAGGATTCTGGAACTTAAAATCTCTAAAAGTAATGTTTCCAAAATTCTGACCACACCACGCAAACCATGAGACTTGCCTGTTAAAGCAATTTCGAACTGAGTTTTCTATTGGTGCTAGCTTCAGATTACTTGTTTAGGATCCAAACCACCGTATTTCTACTGTGAAAATAACTTTCCAATACTGTAATGCTATCTCAAGATAAACATTTCTAACTTGGAATCAGTTTACTACAACAAAGTCAAAGTGGTTTTTGTTTTGATTTACAAAAGTGCTTTATGTTGAACTGGAGCCCAGACAATCTTATGCCAAACTAAAATTGTTAATCTTTAAACTGTCATGGGATGAGTCACTTTTTGTTCTTTAAAAGATGCCTAACTTTCTAAACTTGTCTACATTAGAAACTTTGAATTGGTTGTTATATCAATGTTCCATTATTTGGGTAGAGGCCACCAGAGGGCAGT